ATCTGTCTTGGCTTAGCAAACCCGGTCGTGGGATATAAACATACAACTCATCGAATTACATGATGCTCCGACTCGAGACAACTTACGCGTAGAAAGAACTGAAGTCGAGCTATACCCAATTGACCGATCCGGTATTGATGCTCCAACTGGCACAGCAGTACCAAGTAATCTTTGATCAGACGCCTGATAGCTCCAGCTAAGGCATGATTGACCACTCCATGTTCAAACGTGGATTTTTCTGTCCAAAATAGAACATGTGGTGGGGAAGAGGGGTGGTATTTACAAAAACAAAAATGCAAAAACTATGAGAAAAACAATTCAAAAATAGTAAACTAAACGGAAACAAAAACAACAGCCGACTATTGACGTCTGCTCCGTATGTGGCTAACTGATTTTAATCGGTGACAGACATACCTGGTTTCATCCGGCTCACCCAACCGACTGAGACTTTATACGGATCATCACTGCAAGTCTCAGGATTGGATCGCAGGTTTTCTTCCCCTCGTGGTTCATGAATGGTTAAAAATTCAACAACAAAAAATAATCGCTCTCGTTCTACCCACCTTCACTCAATCACTGATACATATAACTGATAGCAGCTCACTCTCTCATTTCACTCACTAGCATTTGAGCGCTGAGTCAAAGTGTTCATGCTGTGAGACAATCAACTTCCCCTCGACCATTATTTTTGATAGAAACACAAATCTGTCCCTCATGAGACAAATCAATCATGTTCAGTTCGCCAATTATCTTGTCCAGGCTTCTTTCGCTAGCTCAAAACCGGTGCCTGCTCCTATGTTCACCATTCCGTTACTTTGTCCCGACTTGCCCCAACCGTGAATCCTAGCTAAATTGCAATAGCCACTTGTAAATGTCATACCTTAGCCATAACCCACCCACGTTGCTACCACGGTAGAATAAACCAAGATACGTCACTGGGATTGGGCGTGTGTGAGCAAGATATGCCTTGCAGCCGTCATTTCAACATTTGAATATATAAATCTGTGCTATATGGTAGGCATACTAGGAGGCTCGATCATGTAGGTCGCGTTAGACTTCCCGGATGGAGACCTCGGGATCAATATGATAAATGGTTAGGGACACTGAATGACGTGGCTGAGTGTACTAAACGGAGGTGCTCGATTTCCTCGCGACCTTAGTCTACTGAATTGCTCCATTTTCTCTTCGACTTTACTTTGAACTTTCCAATCTTTCTTCTACCCTTTCATCCAAAGGAGTAGCCAAAAGACAGCAATTAAAAACCATCGTACGAAAGTACATGGTTAACGGTCGAACAGAATGAAACTGAATTGCAAAAAGTATAGTCATCCTCGTCACACACACACACACACACCGTCGCATCCTAGACTCCTTTCGGATATTCATTNTTTACCCGTACCACTTCCCTGTCTCCATTTGCCTTATTCCCTGATTTGAATCGTTTTTCCCACATCGCTTCATCCAATAACTCCACATGTCCTATTTGAGCAAAAACGATTTGGATGGTTTTGCAGATTTCCTGGCTTACTATCATTGGAATGACTGCTATTTCAGATTGCGAATTTTCGTTTCTGTTTCTAACGTCATTGATATTACACGGGAGTAGTGGAGGAATTGATCTGATCATACGGTCAATTTTGTCGTGTAAGGAGCAAATGAAGGATGAAGTGAACAGTTAAGAAGCACTGGAAAGCTATTTCGACCTGATTGGATCTCATTAGCAGTGCGAATCTATCGGCCCATCAACTAGTAAGGTCTCTCGGGTTCGGTCCCCAGTTGAATCGATGGATTCGCACTGCTAGAACAGCTGTCCCGTGCTTCGCAGGTTTTTTATTTTACGCTTAATTTGCTTTGTACACGATAGTATTCACTGAGAATGTAATTCTGTGCAAGTATATTTTATTTTACTTTGTGAAACACAGCAAAACATAATCCTGAGGCTTGTAAACCGTGTAGTAAATTTGAAAAGATGCAGCGCTTTGTCGTTTGCGCAGTTCACCCAACCAACAAACTTCCCTCGCAACAGGTTTCGTGAAAATCTTATTTAAATACCTGACTACTACACAGAGATCTACGGATCGGTTCATTTGCCATAAAGCTGAGCACCTAGCTTCCTCGTCCACCAACAGTAACCGAACATAATGGTTCTTTACCAAAACGTTTTCCCGCTATTTCTGTCCTTTCAAGTTTCCTCTTATTTAGAATTAAGCTGAGTTGTAAACCCGCATGATTTTCTGTTCTCCTCTTACTGACATATTTTCCCCCCCCCCTTCTCGGAAAAAAAATGGCTCCGTTTTTTTCCTATCCCAAAGCCTGGTAACCCTTGGGATCCCAAGATCTGTCATTCCATTATCGTCAGTTCTGTAATTTTGAAAATCTTCCAAATGTTATGTTATCTCCTTCCCATTTTGTGCGTACTTCGAACACGAACGTTGGCTGAATGACCAACAATATAGATTTTGTTGAAATAATCCCACAGAGCACATTTCAAACAAACACAGAGTGGCGAACAAGCTCGTTTTCAGAGATTCGTATTCATGCCAACACACCTCAATATATATATATATATATATATCACTACTTGGGAATAAAATTATCTCGGGAAAATAAAATCAAATAAAAACACAGATTACTAAAACCGATTTCATCGTGAGACCGGAAATCGGGTTCACCACGATCACATGTTTGTTTGTCCACTCATCCGACCGTCGAGATTACTCACAATGCGGTTTGTACAGGGGGTGGGCCAGGGAATCTTTAGCGCTTGCACAAATTGTTTTTGGACACACAGAGGGCGGCTGTGCAGACGAATGCCTACCGCTTCTGCCGTAGCCAACATCCAACAGCGAACTTACCTCGATAATCGCCCATCGCGAACTTTGTACAAGGGTCGGAAAGCCTCGCACACGTTCACGGTATGATTTGTTTCGGCTAGGTATGAAACCATTGCACTGGTGAGTGACTTAATCGTTCCGGTGTTCAGCCACGCATCGTGAGTAATCTCGATGGTCGGATGAGTGGACAAACAAACATGTGATCGTGGTGAACCCGATTTCCGGTCTCACGATGAAGTCGGTTTTGGTAATCCATGTTTGTATTTTATTTTATTTTCCCATGACAATTTTATTCCCAAGTAGTGATATATATATATATTGAGGTGTATTGGCATGAATACGAATATAGATTTTGTTCTCATCGTCTCATCTCAGAGTCTTCATGTCGTATTAACGGGCAGTTGCACTCGATAAGCGAGGAGAAACTCTGTTCGTTTCACTCGACATTTCGGAAGGTCTTCTATCGCGTTTGGTATGCGGGCCTACTGCCAACGCTACTTACGTCCGGAATAAACCTGACGAATGTGGTACCAAAGTATCTTTAGGGAGCAAACCATACCCGTTCGATTCAGTGGGATACTCTCTAGGCGTTCCGTGTGAATGTTGGTGTTTTCCGATGTTTTATAATTTCATTTTTCGTTCTAAACTGCTCAGCCGATTATTTATTTATCTGACCGTGTCACTATCGATTGTTGTCCACCTAATCCAAGATAGCGACCATGATCGAGGTCATTAGTGCGTTAATTGAATCCTACATTCGATTTAGCTCACTATCATGATTTGCCAATGATGTTAGTTCCAACATTTTCGAAGAGTGCTCCTTTTAATCTTCTTCATTTTCGTCAGTGGAGTTTTGCTTGTCTTCGTCGTTCAACAGATTCTCTCTCCCTTTCATGGGTTTATCCGTAATTTCTCCTCTCTCTCTTTTGTTCATACTAACCACCCGTGCTGCGCACAAAGCAGGTTTCCTGTTCCGCACCAAACGGTATTTTTTATAGCCATCCACCCCCTTTTACGCAAAACTCAATTCCCTCGGATATTCGAATGCTGTGGTCATGGATGGAGTAGAGCTTCGTGTTCTGTTCCTTTTCCTCTGGGACGAATCACTAGTCAACCTCCTCGTTTGCCCATCACCAGCAGTTGCTTTATGGTCTCTTTCTTATCTCTACTATTTTTGTTTATATTTTTCTGAACTCGCTTTGTCGGTTCCCCTCATTTTGCCCCTTTTCTCGTCTATCTGGATCACATGCGACCACCCACTCTGCTTTGGTTCCTGTTCTGAGATGTCACACTTCTATCTATCGGTCTTTTACCAGTCTTTCCAGATTTCCAATCACTTCTCTTTCCGGAAGAAAGATAAACCGATTATTTTTCCAAATGTTTCTCCACACACCTTTGTCTAAAACTCTCTAGGGTTTTACTCCTAGTATGTAAAAACAATCCCTCCGTGTATAGTCAAAATGATAGCGTTCCTTACCACTGAGCATTTCAGGCTTGTAGACAGTCAAACCGTTTTATGGAGTAGACAGGTAAACGGAAGTGCTTGCTTTGCATACAAGAGATCTTGGATCTCTTACCCGGTACTTTCACAGGTTCAGTCAGTCGGTCGCCTCGATCGTCTAGCTGGGTATCGAAATTATCCACGATCCGAAAATGTTTGGTGGCTATTTTAGATCGATCAAGTGACCATGGTAACTATGGAACTGATGTGAACTGCCCGAGTTCCAGTTGTGAATCCCCACAGAGAATTTGGGTCATGTGAGAGTATTTCACTCAGCAAATAAGCACCAGCTGAGTTGATAATTATGATACTACAATTTGTTTGGCACACAGTTTGGATTAACTTCAACAGGCACACAGTTTGTGTGTACCCACTTGACGTATTCAGTCTTCATTTGTGCCGGTTGGGAGTGATCACCAATACGGATTTCCTATACCTCACTGCCCATGAGATCAGGTCTAGGTCACATGAATTTTACCTTACACTTCAAAGAATTTTTGAATGATAGTTTACTAGGATTCCTATAAAAATTATTTGCAAAATTATTTGAAAGTTATTTATTTGACCCAAGGGATCGAAAATAGTGATCGATGTTCATTCTCATTTCGCACCCGGGATTGATCTTACAATTCTGTTCGCCACGGTTGGTAGCTCCTGTCTAACAGTTATCTGCTTGATTGTCCAATGAGAAAGCAATGAATGACAATGAAAACAGTATCACGATAAGGACAGAGGAAGCAGGTGAAATAGATCCGCACAGATACTGAATAGATGTACTAACGTTTACGGCAATCAGCTGTATCCTCCATTGGTTTCTAACCACTGATTACGTAATGAGGGCAATGGAAGCAAAAGAGTAAAATTTGATGGAAAAGTAAATAGAACGGGGAACGCACCTCCGACAAATCGCACAATGGTCGAATAATCCGAACAGATAGGCAGTATCTTGTTCACAGTATCCAACAGTGTAGGTGCTGAAAGAGTAGAAGTAAAAGAAAAGGAAGCTTATTCCGGCAATTAGGAACCAAAAGCCGTCCGTCCCCCCGTCC